ACTGTTTTATTAAGATGATAACTAAGTAAAATTACAAGAATTTAACTATAGCTAATTCTTCTTTAACTGCAACAAGTAACTCACTTGGCTTAAAGCCCAGGTATGACATCGCCTAGTGGCTGTTTGCCTCCCTCTGGGCCTCTAACTTACTAGAGGCATGAATCCTTTGATTATTGGCCAGTGCTACATGTCTATCAGTATCATCTTTTCTACGAAATATAGACACAAAACAAAGGGCAAAGAAAAAAAAGGGATAATACCTTGGCATCCAGATTCGATTCACCTAAACAAATAATATCAAAAAATATATAAAAAAAAATAAAATAAAATAAAAGAAACAAAGATAGCACTATTAAACCTGTGTCAGATTGTAAAAATTATATAGACTACAAAATAATCTAATTTAAACTTTACGTTAGTTATTTATTGTCTATATTGAGATATATAAAATATCTATTTTTGAGTAAAGGTCAAGTCTAAAATTTCTCTTGCAGTCCTACTGAGTTTGGTGCAGTATCCTGCAATATATTCTCATGCTAGTGCTTGTTTCTGGGCAAAGTTAAATGACCTATGCTTTTTCAGCTTCTGTAGATCTCAGTGTAAATACTGTAACTTCTTGAAGTAACCAATATAATGCTATTATCCAAAAGTAAACACGTACTCTTGTACATGACTTTCTTTTTTTAGCAGTGATTGTTGTTGTTGATCAATAAATAGGGTATGCTGTTTTTCCCACTTTTTAGTAAAAATTTTGAAAAGTTCAAGAGTGGAGTTTGATGTAGAGTTTCAGTTTGCAGGTATCCTTAAACTTCAGTAGTAAGTATATTAAAAACTCGCTTGTTGTTCTCCTTAACCAACTATCTTTAACTTCGTCAGCAGAAGCAGAGCTTCTATTAAAATTTTCTATACAAGGGCACCAACACCTTCTTACTAGTTATCTTGTACAGGAACACTTTTAATTTGCATGCTGAATATACAGAGGAGTCCGAGAAAAAAAAGAAAACCTTGACCTCTGTAAAAACCATTATTTGTAGTTGTCTTTTTTACTTTTCTCCAACAAGTTTTTGTTTTCGTTTGCTGTAAGTTTGGTACGAGTGATTATCAGTGAGAGTTTTTTGTTTAGCAGTTTCAGATATTGTCTACTTAAGAACTCTTCTATTCTTATTTAAGTTATAAACAAAAGCTTCTAAAAAGTTCTATTGTAAACATCTAATATAGTAGATCAAATCTTACCTTTTAGTTTATAGATCTGCTTTAGTTTCTTAATATATTTTACTGATAGGTATATATATTTGTTGTAATTCTTATAATTATACTGCATCTAAACTTCCTAATATGAAATTTAAATAATACCAATCTTCTGATAAAAGTAAAATAAAATCTTTACTTATTAAAAAAATACTAACACAAAGTATGAATATAAAAAAAAAATATTTGTTGCAAAATACCAATTAAAAAGTGTGCTTTTATGTTGTTTATTTTGTTCTTCTGTTTTCTCTATTTGTTTTTCTGTATATTTGCTGTTTTTAGAAAATTTTCTGGTTTGGATGTCAAATGCAAAAAGAAGTCTACTCAAAGACAAGCCAAAAAAAAAAGCTTAACCTTTTTGTAAACTATTTTAATGCCTACATTACATTAAAAAACTTTGTTGCAACAGTTTATATACAAGAAATATAGGTAGTTTGGACTTTTGAGTCTTGAGTCTTCAACTTGCAGTTGAAAAAAAGTTAGTTTAAGTGATCATCGAGAAGAGTTGAATGTAATTGTAATTGTTAGTTATTTAAATTAAAAAATTTTTTTTGTACAATATTATAATACAAAACATTCTAAATCAATAACTTATTTTAAAAGTAGCCAAGTTTAAAACAAAATACTAAATTTTGATTAGTTAATATTATGTTTTTAAAAATTTATTATGTTTTTACATTTATTATAAAATGCATCTATGGTGGTTTATATATGTTTATTATATATTATATATTTTTCTAAGGTTTGTATATAAAGTTTCTAACGCAAAATTTTTTATGCTAAGGTTAATATTTAGAATTAAGGCTTGAAAAGGTTTTTTGTTGGACATAAAACATTTTTACTTAGAACACCGCGTACCGATTAATTAGCTAGTTTTGAGATAATGTATTTATAAATGCAAAATACTATAGGTGCGTTTTAGCAAAAGCCATGTTTTTATATACTGTATATATTTTATAAAAAAAAAGTTTTTTTTGACTTTATTTTTTATTTTTATAAAACAATTATGAGTTTTCACTTTCTGTTTTTTCTGTTTACCGTATTGTCGTAAAATAACGCGCAGGGGTGAAAATACAAATTTTGGCCTAAATTAAGCTTAATTCGGGCCATTATTCTAAATAACGCCCATGCCCGTTATTTCGCGACAATACGGTAAGGTATTTTACACTATATATGGTTTTTTCTTATTAACAAATACAAAAATAAAACAAAAACTTTAAAAAATCTAAAAAAGTATTAATAAAAAAAAAGTTTAGAAATACCAAAAAAGTATTAATAAGAAAAAATTTAGAAAATACTAAAAAAGTATTAATGGGCTCGTTTTTTTTTTTTTGCATTATACAGTAGACATGTTATCTAATCAATAGATTAAATCCTGTTAAGTAGTGTAATAATGAGTTACCGTTATGTACAAGTTGGCATAGATAATTCATGTCAAATAATAATGGATAATAATTCAAGAAATGACGTACGAACGCATATTAACTGGAATTGATAAATGACTCATTAAAAAAAAAAAAAAAAAAAGGCCAACCTAAAAAAAAGAAGAAAGAGCGCATTAACACAGAAGACGCGCATTATCTTGTTTACTTCATATATTAATATGGTTAGTAATTTAACGATGGGAAACATTATTACAAGTCAAGTTAGTATTTGAGAACAAAATTATTCAATAAAATACAGATAAATTTGATAAATTGAATGATATTCCAGAAAGAAACTTCTTTCAATGAACGAATTTCATGTATTTCATTGTATTTCATTGATTAATCTTGATAAATAAAATTTTGGAATAATAGACTAACGAAAGTTAATTGTAAAAAAGCAACCATCATACAATAGTATAAAAAACTACATATATGCATGTATAAAGTAGTGATGCCGTAGAATCGTCCCAATGAAGTTGAATGATAGTTGTCACATGCCGTAACTATAGTAAATAATAAGTAAAGTTACGGCTATAATGTCGTAACTTTACTATGTTACTTACTATAGTTACGGCAAGTTACAGCCATGTGACAACTATCATTCAACTTCATTGGGACGATTCTACGGCATCTCTAGTATAAAGGCAAAATCACGATAAAAAAAGCATGCACTACAAATTAAAGTGAAATTAAAGTAAATTAAAGTAAATGCACTATGACAAAATGTAACATTAAGATTTGAAACACATTTAACGCCAAGTAAAAATTAGATATTGGGGATAACATTCTTTTCATTTATTCGAGAAATACAGATACTAAAATATATATTATTTTTGAACATCGTTCCTATTTTCCTATTTAAAAGTTACATTTAAAAAAAATCTTTGTAATTTGAACTGAATAATTTTAAATTAATATATTTTATAAATCATGTGACCAATATAAAATACGGGGTTTTAATACATCCCCTATTTAAGTTAGATATGGCAACCCTTTGTTAAACGGATAATACATAGTAAATTAAAATTACATGCACGTTAATATTTTTAGAGTCTGATTACGATTATCAGTTATTGTTATTAGGTTATATTTTAATATATACGTTATTAGTATTATTGGATTTTTTGTCACGTGTTTGGTTAATGCTTTCCACGACGCGTAAGAGTAATATTGAAATGTATGAACGCTTAACAAAATTTTCAATTTTTTTTTATTTGAAATTTTTTGTCTTAGACTCGAAAAAAGTATCTTTTTGACACAAAATGAAAGAAAGTCATACATATGTCATATAAAAAAGGGTTGTAACTGTAATATCGAGCTCAAAATAAAATTACGTAAATGCTAATTGAACCATGAACATATGAACTTGAGAAAAAAAATGAACAAGAGGTAAAAGAAATATTTACAAAGAATGATTTGCATGAGGGAAATTGTACTTTTAAAAGCATTATATCCCAATTATTAAAACCAATTATTAAGAATGATTTGCATGAGGAAAATTGTACTCTTAAAAGCATTATATCCCAATTATTAAAACCAATTATTTAAAAAAAAATGAAATGATAAAAAAGGTTCAGCCAAAAGCAGAAACCAAAATTGAACCAAAATTGTATATTACATATCATTATGATGAAAAGAAACAAAAAAGTGTGTTCTAATGTTCTAATTGAGCATCGATATATATAGATTTTTTTTTTTTACATAAGTGACTATAAAAAAATAATTGAAAGAAAATAATTGAAAGACAAAGAGCAATGCAAAAGATAAAAAAAAGATAAACTAGTTATATGACAACACTTCTAATAGATGTAAACGTATTACATTCGTGGTGCAAGATCCGATTCTAAATGGATTTTTGAGTTTTTATGTTAGTTTAAAAGGAAAATCGCGAAGGAATTAATAAAATTCCCATCGATCCCATTGATCCCATCGCACACACGAAGGAAGATAATCAGCACGAGAGATATTACCGATTTTTGCTAAAGACAACTAAATTATTGAAAATAATTAATTATAAGATATTAACCAAATTTTATAGATATTGAAAAAAGACTTACAAGAATTTCAAATAAACTAATTGGATCTTTAGATTGTGTGTCAGCTTCCCTGTTATTATTGTTATTATTGTTGTTATTGTTATTATCAGGTACATTGTCAGGTATATTATCAGGTACCGAGGCTTCATTGGACTTTTCAGATTCAGCTTGAATTTCATCAGTTGTCTTATTTCCAAAGAAATTGTCGCCAAATATTTTAGTAAGAAAATTAGTAGCTGGAGACTTATCAACTTTGGCAATAGTTTGAACGGATTTAGTATTATCCAATTGCTTCAATAATTTGATGGAAGGACTATCCAAAGTCAAGTTGTTATTGTTGTTGTTATTATTGTTGTTATTGTTGTTATTGTTATTGTTATTGTTATTATTATTTTCTTCAGCGTTTTCATCGATTTTGGTATTAGATTGTGAATTAGAAAACATGGCGAAACCTTGCTTTTCAAAATCGATCACCGAAAGCGAGGCAGTTGTTGGAAGAGAAAGTCGCTTAAAAGATTTTGGGAGATCTTTTGAACAGTCATTTTCACACATTAAAGAATATCTCCATAAATTTGGTTTATAAATGCTTGATCGTCTTGAACTTCTTTTTGAAGAATTTGTAGAAGTAGTAGAATAAGTAGAATTAGAAGTCGGAGAAGAGCTGAGCGGAACATTGCTGTTAACGTATTCTTGATATTCTTTCAAGAATTTTTCAACGGTTGGAGAGACAGGTTCATCACTCTCATCCGTTTCAGTTTGCAGAATATCAGCCAAGAAATCAAGATATTCGTTTATATCTTTATATAATGTTTTCGCATTGGTAACCTCATCTACGTTGTTCGAAATCGAAGTAGTCATTTTTATAAGATTTGTATTTTATAAGTGGTTTTCGTGAGAACGTAAATTTTAAGTGATGTTGATTGTTTATATATTTTATAAGAAATTGGATCTTGAGAAAATAAATCAATAATTATTTATTTATTTATTCCCGGGTAAAAAAAAAAAAAAAAAGATAATAATAATAAAAAATATAAAAAATAATAGTCAAAATATATAGAATATATAGTAAGAAAGAATATTTACAGCATATATGTATATGTATATATATATATAATGATGTAAAGTTATTATATGTATATAATTAAATATATAGATATAATTGAAGGATTGTTTCGCACAACGAAAATATGCTACTTCATATAATCCTTTTTTTACATCACTTAAAGAGAGAGGACTTTGAGACAATGCGGTGCATAAGCACGCCTTAAAATTCTTTCGAAAAAAGGGGCTGATGCGGTTTTTATGTAAATTCAAGGCTTAGTTCCATTTGGGCAATGTTATATTTTTTTCGTGTTATTTTGTTATTTTGTATTTGTACGTAAAAAAAAACGAGATTCTTATCCCGTTTTTGTCAATGTATCACTACTGTTTTTATCAGATATACTTATTTTTTTGATTTGAATTATAGATAATGCATATCGTATAGATAATGCATATATCAATATTGTTCAATATATAAAATAATTTCTTCGGTTAAGTAAAGACCACAATATCGATATAGTATATATATATTTATATATACAGACATATAGATATACAGATATACCGATATACAGTAATATGTATTTTATCTTTTAAATACTATCTAAAAGTTAGTTTCGACCGGCTATGATTGACAAAAGATTATTCGTATTGATCGTATTGTCACACCTACTAAACCAATACCACCTCTTTAGTTTAATTGAAGTATATCAATTTTGACATTTTTAAAAAAAAATTGTAATCGTTATCCTAAAAGGTCTTAATTATGTCGTAATCAAACGTTAAATTTTCAGAAGACATCATTATGTATCAGGTATACATTCATTTCATTGACATTAACTGGGGTAGCTGTGAAACTGTATCTATACTTATTAAACATATTAAATATAGAAATATATTAACAAATAACTTATTTATCTATACTATATCAGATATATTGCAAATTACACTATTGTAATATTGGTATTGATAATTCTTACAAAAAAAACGAACGAAACTAGATAAAGAGTAGAATCTCCCGCTTTCAAAACCAGTTAATTACTAGCGCTAGGACTTTCAATCGTGGAGTTGATTTAACCACGCATGGCATATGTCACGTGCAGAGTTGCCAAATCTCCAGTTTCAGCATATCATTGTAATGCTAGTCTTTTTTCGTATAGATGTTAGCTTTAGGATGTTCAACGTACGTAGAATGTAAGATGCGCATAACAGATAAGTATGTACGTACAAATCTGTTACTCCGTAGCAATGCTCCGTAATCAGTTATCTTAGTATTTATCTCGAAGTTTCTTCTATTTATTCAAAGCAAATATTTATCTTCTTTTTTTTTTTTTTTAACCGAAACTTTCCGGAAATTTCTCACGAACAAAAGTAAATAACTGAATATAGTTATTTATGTATGAGAAGAGATAAACAAAGAATTTTTTGACATATAACGATAATACATCATAGAAAAATGCTAAAATTGTCATCTACGTGTGTACGGACGTACGAATTTAAAAGTTTGTTTCATCCCCCTTTGTATTTCTGTATTTGCATTTAATGTTACAAAATGTTAAAAAAAAAAGTTTTAGTTTTCCACTCTTTTCTATTCTATTACTATTCTATTGCTGTTATTAGCAAATTTCTATTTGTAGGTAGTCTTTAACTGCGCATCTGTTTTTCATCTTTAGGCTGTTAAAAAAAAAATTGGCAGAATGTAAATGTATGCCGTACATTTCAGCATTTAATCTTTGATTCAATGCGCATAAAAAAAAAAAAACTTGCTCGGGACGTACTTACATACTTACGCCCTGTATTATATGTAAGGGTCTTTTTTATTCTATAAAAACTTGAAATTTCAGGCTTTCATGTTGTAAACTAGTATCACATGACAGTGATTTTGTATATAAGTCATTTTAAAATATGTCATGTGTTTTTTTTATGCATGCATACGCGTGGAAATACGAATTTTAGGCTTAACAGGACTTATGACTTCGTGCATATTCTTAAAATGGACATTGTTTTTCCTTTGTTTTTCTCATGTGGAACATGGAACTCTGCATGCATTCTTATCGCTTATTCTCAAGAAATTAAAAAATTTTAGCAGGGGACAGGTCACGCATCGCATACAATATTCGTTGGCACGTTTTACCTATTCATTTATAGTATAATTATAAGTATGTACGTACAGTACATATAGATATCTGATATCAGATATCGATATCTAATATATAATTTGTATTAGTATTAAATTTACATATATACGATGACCTATTAACATCAATTCATTCTTTTTAGAAATTGATTTAAAGCAATGTTTAATAAATGTTCATTATCGACCTTTATCGACCTTTTTCGTATTTGTCAAATGATTAACTTTTTACATTCAGACATTTGTAATTGTAATAATATTTTGAATCACAAGATTTTCGGTGTCACATATGGAATTATTAATCGTTATTGTTTTGATATCGTAGCATATACCCCAAATCGGTCATTATCTTCCACGATCTTGCCTAAAATTAATACGTACGTACTTACTTAAATTTTTAAGAAAAAAATTAAGCAGGATTTTAATCTCGTTTATTAAACTTGAAATAATAGTTGAATATGGTAACGAAACTCGCTTTTAATAAGTAGTGTTTGTAATTTACCAGCATGTACTTATATATTCTAATCTCAGGGATGTACGTACGTATGTACATGGACAATGTCCAAGAATAATTATTGAAAATGAACAATTTTGGTTAATGTATAATATAATATAACGATAATGACCAAGTTCACATGATTGTCCGTCCAATCAAATCGTTGAACGTGGACAAATGTCCATGGATATCGTCTAATTACAAGATTTCTTATAGATTTTTTTATAGACTAAATGAGTGTAATAATAATCTTCAAATAACTTTTGAACCAACTCAAATAAAATTATATTTATCTGATTCGTTCTAACGTGCTCTTTAAAGTGACAATGCTATTTTTTTTACAAATTATTCGTTTTTAATAATTGATTATTTATCTTCATATACTAAGAAATTTGTGTTACATAATATGCAATAGCTATGCAATAACGTCTGACAAAATGCTACTTTTTTGTTTTTTTATCAAAATCAAGATCTTTCATATCGATTTGCATATCGAGTTCTTGTCTCCAGATGATAAAAATAGAAAACAAGCGTTATTACTTCAAAATGCATATTAAAACGAACCCGACAATTATAATTTATTCGGTTGAATTATTACTGATTGAATTTTATATTTTTACTATTACACTCGTTGATATTATATCACTACCGTATGAAACCAATGTTCAAGTATATTATTGGTTGATTGACTGTCCCGTGGTTATTTATCAATCGTACAGGATTAGATGTAACGTGAAAATCATGCTTATACTGCCTTCTAACTAGAGGTACAGATGAATCGTCCCAATACCGTAATTATAAAAAGTTGCGGCAAATGTGTCGTTACTTTTTATATAGCTGATAGTTACGGCAAAGTTACGGCATCATTGGGACGATTCACCTGCACCTCCACTTCTAACAAAAAAATTTCTTGCGAAATTTTATGTATGGTCTTTCCTAACCTCATCAAAATAGTAATTTACTGCCAAGTATTGATACACAAAATATTGAATGAACGTATTACACGAAGCAATACTTAATATAAATTTAAAACACATACTGCTTTTCATTAAAATTATTTCCTCTTATGTAACATATAATTTCTCGCGTTTAAATATCAAATAAAAAAAAAACAATAACTCTTCAATAAAATAATTCAAGTCACCGATACTTTTTAATCATTTCACTGATAAGAACTATCCAAATGTAATATTCTGGCTTGGTTATTGTTACGACCATGGAATTGGAGTAGAAAAGAAGATTAACAAGTCAACTATTTGTTAATATTCATTAATATATTTTATTTGAATGTGTTAATATTCAATAATCTATATTTTGAGACTTGTTAATGCCACCCCCCATTTTTGTTAATGCCACCCCCTACATAACTCTAATTGGTCTTTAACCTTTCCGGAACTCTATGAACAATGCTTACCCTAATTGCTAACTTAATTAATCACATGAA